TATTATTTCATTTAATCCTCATAACATTCTTATTCAATAGGTATTATTATTCCCATTTTATAGATGGGAAAACTAAGACACAGATAAGGAACTTGCTTAATATCACACAGATAACAAGTAGCAAGGCTGAGATTCAAATCTAGTTTACACACTATACTAGAAAAGAGTTCCAAGAGCTTTAAGAATTTTAATTGGTCTTAAATTCACATATCTAGGTAGAAAAAACTATATTTAGGACTCTTATGGGTTGAATTGTGTCCCCTAAAATTTCACAGGATGAAGTACTAGACTCCAGTACCTCAAAATAGGTACTGACCTTGGAAATAGGATCACTGCAGATGTTACTAAAGATGAGGTCATTAGGGTGGGCCCTAATACAATATGATTGGTATCTTTATAAAAAGCAAAAATATGTATACAGGAACAGAGATATACATAGATGAAAGATGATTTGAAGAGGAACTGGTAGAAGATGGCCATTCATAAGCTAAGGAGAGAGGTCTGGAACAGATGCTTCCTGCTCACCCCTCATAGTCCAAGTCTGCTGACACCTTGATTTTGAACTTCTAGCCTCCAGAACTATAAAAAACCAAGTTTCTTTTTGAAGACCACACCAAAACAACTGGGAGAAGGAACTGGCAACCCACTTCTGTATTCTTGCCTGGAGAATCCCGTGGACAGAGAATCCTGGTGGGCTGCTGTCCATAGGGTCGCACAGAGTCGGACATGACTGAAGCGACTTAGCATGCATGCATGCATTGGAGAAGGAAATGGCAACCCACTCCAGTCTTCTTGCCTGCAGGACCCCAGGGACAGAGGAGCCTGGTGGGTTTGCCGTCTATGGGGTCGCACAGAGTCGGACACAACTGAAGCGACTTAGCAGCAGCAGCCAAAACAACAGATGTGAGCTTTGAGATATTAGAAAAATTCTGCTGAGCCATGCCTCCTTCTGCAAGTTCAGAAAAACTAATTTCATTTTAAAATGGGTAACATAAAATGAGAGAAGGAAAATCCCAAACAAAGTTATTAAAAGAGAGAATAGAGAGCAGAATGGCATCTCTCTTCTCCATGTACGTCTATCCTGGAAGGGAGCTTGAGCTGCGACTTCTGCAAGTTCATGGTATCTAGATGCTCCAACCCCATCAACCTTACCAAGTATCACTTGCACCCATTTTTAGTTCCACTTGCTTTTCTCAAATTGGTCCACTGTGTTCTCTAGTAAATACCTGTACAGCATTTTGGTTCACAGAGTATTTTAGGGTCTTCCTATTTTCTGGTCTGTGAGATGAGCCATTGTTTCTCTATGCTCATTCCTTCAAAGATTGCTCAGGTCTTGTAGCTGTCATTTGCCCCCAGCCTCTTCTATTTAGGGCTCATGGGAATATCTTATCACATACTTTTTTTGCAGATGTTGTTCACAGATTAATATTAAAATATTAGTATGAATATATCACATGCACAGTTCACTCACCCGTTCTGGCATCCGCGGTCCCTCCCCTGCTCGACCTTCGGGGCCCCGGGAACAGGCACCACACAGTCACTCTGACTGAGGGAGTGGAGGGAGAGTGAGGCATAGATGAGGATGGGGTTTGCTTGATAAATGGTGTAAGTCTAACTCTTTGCGGACGAGCTCAGAACCAGAGGCTTCTGGCACCCGCCACTGCCCAGTGTTTCTCATTCTAGGGCTGCCCTGCCAGTCCCAGTAAACTCCCGAGATCCCGCGAGATCCCTCGAGACGTGGCTTCCTCTGGGGCACGAGATGGCGGCGGCTGCGCCATTAGACTAATTCCGCGGTCTTCTGGGCCACCTCTCGTGATCAATGCATCCTAGCTCACTCTCTCCCTACCCCTCCCTCTGTACTCACATTTACACCTCCACACTCACCCAAAGCCACAAAGTGTATTCTGCATGCTCCAACTGCACCCTGTCTTTGCCTTCCTGGGAAACCTCACATTCCACGCACCTGGACCAGGGTCTGGCCCTCGGCCCTGGCTGCAGGCATTCCCTATGCTGTTGAAAAGAGAATGTTTCCAAATGGAGGGGCTCGGGTAAAGGGGCCAGCTTCCTCATCGCAGGATGCTCGCAGTTGGGCTGATTCCGAGAGAGCAGAGCCCTGTTGTTTGGCGGAGAGACTTCAAGTACAGGCAGGGACGGTCTCCTAGGACGAATTCTAGACATCTGGCTACTGCTGGGAGGAACAACTGGCCACAGCCACGTGCAGTGAAATGGGTGGGCTCGGGTTGTTTTGGTCTCGGACCTTGGGGCCCCACGTCACTGCCCCAGGAGAAGACTTAACGCCCCTTGCATGTGCCGTTCACTACCCCATTCTGGCCTCGAGCAGTCCCATCCCTGCATCCCTCTAAGCCAGAGCTCTGTCTCGGACACCTGGCCACAGGCCCTGAGCCAAGGTGGAGATGCACTGTGGCTCTGAATAGGAGGAAAGACATTGGAGAGGACTGGGGTTTGCTTAACAGGTGGCATGCGAGGAGTCTGGAACAAGGGGCCTACAACACTGGGGCACACAGTTGTAAAAGAAAAAAAAAATTAATATGTTAATTTAAATAAGGCTATGAAGTTTCAATTATGCAAGATGGAAAAGTTCTAAAGACCTGCTATACAACACTGTGTTTATAGTTAACAATTAGACCTCATGTTGTTTTTTCAACCACAATAAAAAAGACTATAAAAGATGTACAATTGCATGTAAAGAATGCTTTAAAAAATTTATCATGCCAATATAAGTGCATATATATACAGATATGGAATTAAACACATAAAAATATAAACAGTGGTACCTTTAGTGGTGAAATTCTGGTTGAAATTTTTTTCTAATTTTTCTAAAGTGAACTTAAGCTACATTTATAGCTATTTTTATATAGCTATGTTTATAATCAGACATGTACTCAGGAAATTGATTTCTTTTGTTTCAGATCTCCTTGGTTCTCTCTTACATTTCTGAAATCAAACAGGTCAACTAGCCCCATAAGAAGACAGAATGCCTGTCCAGGATTAGGTATCTCCTTTATTTGAAGTATGGTTGCATCCCAGGAATAATTTCTTACCACTTTCATCATTCTAGTTCCTTGTCTTTACAAGGTAGAATTCTCTCATTCCTAAGGGATCTTAAGAAATGCTGAGCCTTTTGCTCCTGTCCATTCTGATACTGAAGCTGCTGCCACCTCTTATCTACCACAGGGACTTTTTCTGTAACCCACACCTGCTGATAGGCTGTGCTAGTAGCAGATGCTCTCACAGGAAGTGCTCTTATTTGAGGCACTTATTCTGATTCTGCTTTTACTAGTGGGAATGAAAGGGGTTAAATGATAGATGACATACTAATTGTAGAAATAGAAATGGGCATTTGAAGATGCTGCTCCTGTGTAGGGTCCAGTAGCAGGTACGAGATGATAGAATGGTGAGGAGGTGGTGTGAAGAACATTGCTATGATCCTTCACTTTCTCCACACAGATTGCATTTTCTCTTGCTCTGAAGCTTCCACAGGATCTAAAAGGCCTCCTTCCACCTCCTTTACACCCTCCTGCTCAGAGAAATACCCATATCCCTCCTCCAGCATCACCACCTTCATAAGTGCCTGTAAGGGAGCAGTACCAGGCCCATCCCTATCATCAATAATGGAAGTGGCTGCTGCCAGGCCTCATTCTTTGTTCTTTTCCTCCACCACCATTTGTACTCTTCCTCTATTGCACCAGCACTGAATTTATATCCAGCAGGAAAAATACCAGCACATGCCCACCTTTCCAAGTGTACAGGGGACATTAGGACCCACAAAATATCATAATATCTTCTCCCCTCCCTCTCAAATAATTTTGTTTATTCACCCTGATAACCCTCTTCTTTTCCTACATTCCTATCCCTAGCCAAGGCTCTTACCATCAGTCATCTCTGAGAAAGGAGAGTTCTCATATGACAGGGTCATTTTTATCTTCCACCCCCTCATCTCACCATACCCATTCCAAGAAGATGTCCAAATCTTGGCACCTCTTATCCCAGCCAGCCTGTATCTGGTTTTCTATAATCCTGCACACTTGGACCAAATTATGCTATGAAAGGAATGATCTAGAGAAAGAATACTGCTTTATAATGTCTATGTACTCCTTACTCCATACCAAGACCCCAGGGAGAAAGCAGAGCCCCAGAGGGAAATGGTGACTGTAGAGAGACTAGGACATCAGGGCTTCCAGCATTGGCAGACACCTCCAACCCCCACTGGCTATAGAGAAGCAGGCATGCCCACCCTCAAGAAACCATGTGGACTTAGACAGTAAGAGTACCAGGGACAGTAACAATGGACTGAAGGCCCCCATAGAAGGCTCTCCCCCTCCCATTCTTGGGTAACTCACAGGAAGAAGAGGGGCCCTTCAAATGTCATTCAATAGTGAATGACATTTAACTTTCAGTCTTCTCATTGGGATGGAGGGAAGATTCAGATTTAAATGGTCACTTCTGGGAATTACCTGGACTCCCAGTGGTCAGGACTCAGTGCTTTCACTGCCATGGGCCTGGATTCATTCCCTGGTTGCAGAACTAGGTTCCTGCAAGCCTCATGGCCCAACCAAAAAACTTAATTAATTTAAAATAATTAAATCAACTGCCACTTCTGAGCAAACCTGTCCCCGTGGTACACACTACACAGGAGACACAGCAATAAGTGAACACTCTTTATTACTAGTTAGAAACAGAAAACCTCTGACAGAGCCTGAGCCTGGTGAGCTGGAATCTCCTGGGAGAACTCCAGGACACCTCTTGTTCAGACTGGAGGCTGATCTGACTTTCCAGCCCCTGGGCTCCACCCTGGCTCCCCTGGCTTGCAGCAGCTGCCTCGGGGGAGCAGAGCCTGCAGAGAACACACAAAGTGGAAGAGAAGGGCCCAAGGGCGTTCTCAAGAGTTCTTGTCCCAGTCCAGTTCTACTTTTAATCCAATTAGTCCTCCCAGGAGAAGCACCATCCACAGCACAATGTCTGTCTTTGGAATAATTTTGTTCTTCAGCCACTGGCTGGAAAGGGACTTGGGATGGTGGCTGGTCTTTCAGGCAACCAGGAAACTAGTTGTCCCTCTCGAGGGAGGAAATCAGGAGAGTATCAGAAAAGTCCTGCCTGAACTTTTGTGAGGACACTTTCCCGCTCTTTGCCACTACTCATTTGTGTCATCTGGGACCAACAAGATGAACAGTTGGGAAATCAAGTCCATCCACAAAAATGTCTTTGATCTTGCCCCCAGAACTACAGAAATATCTGGATGCTATTTCAACTGGGTTTACCCAAAGACCACATGACATGCAAAACAAAGTCACCTCTAATCTATAATATATCCCAAATTATGCTCTCCCCTGTCATCTAACCCATCTCACCAAAAAGATTTGTGTACGCTAGATAATACCATATAATTCTACCTCCTATCATATACTAGACAATCAATAACTATTTGATTAATTAAATGAAGTCCATCAAATTTGCTATCATCTATAGAATTTAACACTGCAAACTCACCCCTCCCAACACTTCTGAAATAATTCCATATCAACAGAGAAATTAAATCCTAACAAAATTATTTTGTATCCCTTTTCCCTCTAATAAGTCCCAAAGCATCTCTTCTTCCCTGACTTCTTATTCTTCTTAGTTTCATCCAGCCGGGGGGTCTCATTGAGGTGTAGGTCAATCAGAAATGAAGTGTGATTTCTTTAGGATCTTGGAAGATCTTCTAGATGGGATAGGTTCGGATTCTTCAGCAACAGGCAAATTCCATGTGGCTCAGAGACAAAAATGAGCCCCTACAGATAAAACTTAAAAACAAGAAGCAAACATGAACACTGCAGTAGTTTACGAAAGAACAACAGCATTTTCAAGGAAAAACAGTACTCCTAAAATTCAATATAGCATATAACTCTAAAAGTATATGGCCGTTCTGAGGCAGATATGGCATTTTCAGGAAAAGGTGGTTAATAAGAAAACAGAAATCAGTGAAAAAGAAAAAAAATTCTTCATGACTTCAGTGTCTCCAGGGTGTCAACCAATTAGCATCAGCCATCCAGAATCCAGCACCTGCAAACTTAAAAGGAATTAGAAGTCCTCTATTTTAAACACGTAATACTTCCAGTGGTCATGTATGGATGTGAGAGTTGGACTATAAAGAAAGCTGAGTGCCAAAGAATTGATGCTTTTGAACTGTGGTGTTGGAGAAGACTCTTGAGAGTCCCTTGGACTGCAAGGAGATCCAACTAGTCCATCCTAAAGGAGATCAGTCCTGGGTGTTCATTGGAAGGACTGATGCTGAAGCTGAAACTCCAATACTTTGGCCACCTCGTGTGAAGAGTTGACTCATTGGAAAAGACCCTGATGCTAGGAGGGATTGGGGGCAGGAGGAGAAGGGGACGACAGAGGATGAGATGGCTGGATGGCATCACCGACCCGATGGACATGAGTTTGAGTAAACTCCGAGAGTTGGTGATGGACAGGGAGGCCTGGCGTGTTGTGATTCATGGGGTCGCAAAGAGTCAGACACGACTGAGCGACTGAACTGAACTGAACTGAATACTCAAAGTAGTCTATCTTCGTTAAAATAAGTGTACAAAATAAGAATATAATTGAATGTGTGCATGCATGTGTGTATATATTTGTATGTGTGCTCAGATGATAAAAAGTGCTTAATCTGGGTAATGAAATAATGGACTATTTTGTTTTTCTTTCATAATTTTGGTTTTCAGATTTTCTGTGAAGTAAATGAGTTACTTTTTGATCAAAAGAGGAGAGGTTGTTAAGAAATTGGTTTTACCTTAGAGTGTTTCCATTCTTACTTACCTTCCTGAAATCAGTGAGCTTGTCCTGGATCTGGGCCTCCACTCTTAACTGCCCTGCAGACTTTCTTGCATTTATAGCAGGACTTGCGCCATGTAAAATTCACTGCTTTACAACGCAGGCACTGCCAACAATTTTGATTGGAGTGTGTAGCAGGTTTCTGCTGCTGCTGAAAATCTGAGGATATTTTCTCTTTTGGTTGCTTGGCCTTTTGCTCCTGTTTCTTTGGGTTTTTTCTCACACCATGACTTGTGCTGGACTCCGAGGCACCTGCCTCCTGGGGCCTCCCTGGACTTTCTTGTTTGGGGATCTTGCTGCTGTCCATGGAGTACTTCTCCTGGGGCATCACTGGACATTTCTTCTGGCTGTGGCTCCTGCTGTCTCCCTGGGGCGCTGGGCCCTGGGGACAAACCTGGCCTTCTTCATGGCTGTGGCTTCTGTTGCCCCCCATGGAGGATATCCCCTGGGGACACACAGCACCTTCCTCTTGGCTGTGGCTTCCGCTGCCCCCCAGGGAAGACATCGCCTGGGGACACACAGCACCTTCCTCTCCACTGTGGCTTCTGCTGTCTCCCAGGGAAGACATCGCCTGGGGACACACAGCATCTTCCTCTCGGCTGTGGCTTCTGCTGTCTCCCAGGGAAGACATCGCCTGGGGACACACAGCACCTTCCTCTCGGCTGTGGCTTCTGCTGACCCCCATGGAAGACATCGCCTGGGGACACACAGCACCTTCCTCTCGGCTGTGGCTTTTGCTGACCCTCACGGAGGACATCCCTTGGGGACACACAGAACCTTCCTCTCGGCTGTGGCTTCTGCTGTCTCCCAGGGAAGACATCACCTGGGGACACACAACACCTTCCTCTCCACTGTGGCTTCTGCTGACCCTCACAGAGGACATCCCCTGGGGACACACAGAACCTTCCTCTTGGCTCTGGCTTCTGCTAACCCCCACGAAGGACATCTCCTGGGGACACACACCATCTTCCTCTCGGCTGTGGCTTCTGCTGTCTCCCAGGGAAGACATCGCCTGGGGACACACAGCACCTTCCTCTCGGCTCTGGCTTCTGCTGCCCCCCAGGGAAGACATCCCCTGGGGACACACAGAACCTTCCTCTCGGCTGTGGCTTCTGCTGTCTCCCAGGGAAGACATCTCCTGGAGACACATAGCATCTTCCTCTCGGCTGTGGCTTCTGCTGTCTCCCAGGGAAGACATCACCTGGGGACACACAGCACCTTCCTCTCCACTGTGGCTTCTGCTGACCCTCACGGAGGACATCCCCTGGGGACACACACCATCTTCCTCTCGGCTGTGGCTTCTGCTGACCCCCATGGAGGACATCCCCTGGGGACACACAGCACCTTCCTCTCGGCTCTGGCTTCTGCTGCCCCCCAGGGAAGACATCCCCTGGGAACACACAGAACCTTCCTCTCGGCTGTGGCTTCTGCTGTCTCCCAGGGAAGACATCGCCTGGGGACACACAGCACCTTCCTCTTGGCTGTAGCTTCTGCTGTCCACCAGGGGGCACATCGCCTGGGGACACATAGCACCTTCCTCTTGGGTGTGGCTTCTGCAGGTCTCCTGGGCATATTGCCCCTGGAGGTTGTCAGAATATTCCTGGGCATAGAAACTCTGGTCATATGGTGGGGCCATCTCTTGCTGGGCCCCCACTGCAGCCCACTGACCAGGTGGGTAGATCCCCAGAGGAGGCACCTGGGGTGCGACTGCTACTGGTACTGCTGCTGCTGTGACTGCTCCCCCTTCCATAACTGCTGAAGGTGGTAAAGGTGTCACATATGGGAATCCCGTTGGGAATGGCAATGGATGTGGCACCGGCATTGGTGGAAGGGGTTGCATTGCCTGGGCAAAGGAGCTCTGGGGTCCCGGGACATAAACCACAGCTGCCGGGGCTGCCATCTGACTCTCTGAATGTGGCATGCCCTGTGCTCCCAGAGCCACCATCTTGCTGTGCTCTGGTACATTCATGGGCCATGCTGTAGCTCCAAGCTGCTCAGCTCCAGGCCCAGGCAGCATTTCATGTGCCACAGGTGCTAGCTGGGCCGATCTCTCAAGCTGGAGCAGTCGCCCGCGCAACATATCTCGCTCATCCATCACCTGCTTCAGGGCAGCCCGTGTGCCTCGTAGATGCACTGCCGCCTCCTCACGCTCCTCACGGAGGTGCTTCAGCTCGTTGGCCAGGGCCCAGGAAGCCGCCTCACGCTCCCTCACCTGCTCCTGGAGCCGCCTGATACGGTGCGCCTGCTGCTCCCACTGCCTTGCGCCCACACGCACGCTCAACGCCAGCGCACTCCAGGCACAGGCCCTCTTGATGGCGCGGGGCACCCGCGGGTCAGCAACCACGATTTGTAGCTGATCCTCTACCTCATTCCAGGGTCGCGAGCGGAAGGCCACGTAGAATTCAGGGCCACCCCCGTTCATGATGATCTCATTGTTGATGAACCTGATTACATTGGTGTGGCGAAAGCCACTGGCATGGTCCCTAAAGTTCACAGCCATGGCTGCCGAGGCCTAGTCAACCAACCACCTCACTGAAGAAGACGCCGCCTCGCAACAGCTGCGACAGCTAAAAGCTGTCGCCGCTACCAAGTCCGCCCTTCACCTCCCGGCTCAGTTCCTTGAGTCCTAGCTCAATCCTGGCCTCCTCGCCCACCTCTTTTGTCCCTCACAGGGTCCCGCTTTCCTCACCGAGAGTAGAACAGGTCTGCTCACCACCACGCCAACCGCCAAAGTGCAGGCTACGTGACTCGTCACAAACATGCAGAGTCACAGGCACACAAGGCTGCTAGACCTGCCGCCTAGCCAGAGCCCCCTCTATAGGGTGAGCGGACCAGAAGCCACACTGGGTGTCTCAATGAGCCCAGACGTGGCAGGGGGGAGGGGAGACGGTGCAGGCAGCAGGGCGCAAGCGCACAGTGGCAGCGGGCACTGCCGATTCTTTCCAGATGCTAATAGTTGCAAATCACGCACCTAGGGGCTGCAACCGCACACATACACATATACACACACACATACTCTCTGTCTCTCAATTCTATTGTAAAAGGAAGAGGGAATCAATGGAGATCAGAGAACTTGAGTGGGGGAAGGGGATTTGAGGGCTAGGGAGTTGAGGGTAAGAAGACTGGGGCTTCAAGACCCCTAGTTTACAGAGGTAAATAAGGTGCAAACTTGAAGTCTATCAAAACCCAAAAAGGGGTTGGACAGTGTTGGGAGAGACTTGAGAGAGAAAGCTGTGCTTGCACTACTGATGTGAGGAAGGTGATGAGGCTGCATGGTGGGGAAGCAGTGGGAACCAGGTAAATATGCCATTTGGCATATTTATTAGTTTAAATTAAATTTACTTAAGAAACAGCCAGTGTAAGGACACCCTGACCCTCATTCCCCTAAAAACAGAAGTAAATATCCCATATGAAAGGCACCCTCCCTATATCAGATGGTATAAGGCATCCTGATTACCAGTTTCAACCTTAAAAAAAAAAAAGGTAAATAATTCAGCCAGCAAAATTGAGTTTATTTTGGAAAAGCAGAAGAATTAAATTCAGGATATATAAAATGTGCAAACTGTAAGCAAGTCCAGTGAACAAAGGAGAGGAATGATCTTCAAAGAGGAAAGGAGGAAGTTTGGGGGGACTGTTTTGAATTAAAGTTTTTGAATGGGAACAAGAGTTTAGGGTTGTGGCAGCGTCTCATTGGCAGAGTTATGGCAGTTTCCCATTGGCTGTGTGTTGCTGCACAAAGAGAAAATCTTCCTTCTAATTGCTGGGGTGTGTAAAGTAACTTCTTCCTGCTGGAGTATGTAAAATAAGCTATAAGAATGGTACGTTTCCTTTTTTGATTTTTACATTTCCCCCTTTTGATCAAAACCTTTCCTTGAAAGTGTTGCTGATCAAGAGTCAGGTTTTCCATATTTGGTGATTTTGTTCCTCAGAGCCAGGAAAGATCTTTCCTGATCCTTGTCATATGCCATGTCAGAGGGAAAGAGTACACATTAGAAACTGTTGAGGTCACATTTGAGTAACAAGGAAGGATAGGAGGAACTCTTAAGCATTTTCCACCTAAATTCTTTATCTTATCAAAGTCATAAGTGTTAGAGATTATCTTGAAGCATTAAGCTAGCATCACTTTATTGTACATCATTTCTACAAGAATTTAACAAGCAATAGCTACAAAGCTTACAAATAATTATACAAAGTAGAATTGAAAGTAATATGAAAAATTCAGTTTGTATGATGGTTCTAAATCACGACCTTAGACTTGAAGGTAGCCAACTGAACAAATAAAAGGATCATGTCAGGCGAAATTTATTGCAAACAGTGTGCTTATCCTCTGATTTTGTGTAATCAAGTTTTGACCTCTTCAGAGGCACTTATCCACGTGCAAATCTCACAAATTCCTCATTGTTCAATAAGTAGGTTATCAAGGGCTATGTAAACGTCTGGAACTACTTTAGCCACTAAGTCAAGTGATTGTTGTTTGGCTGCTACTGCTTTGGCTGCAGAATTGGCTAGCTTTCCTAATGTTAGGGAGATATTTCTGATCATGCAATCAATGGCACTTACTCTGATGCAAGGGAGAAAATCTCACCCTGTGGAGACAAACCTGAAGTCATGTATGTATCCTGGAAGCTCCTATTTAATATAGCCATGGAGGCTTAATGGGGTGTACTAGTGAGGGGTCTGGCTTGTTATTGATATTAAGAGGGACAGTTAAATATAATGGTAAGTATTAACCTCCAATTCATCAGCTATCTAAATATTCATATGTCCATGGGAAATGTCATCCACAACAAAAATGAAGCCAGATGGAGCACAGGAGACCCCAGCTGAGGTCTGAAAATGGATAAATCCATTAGCTGAAAGTTTCTGATTTAAAATCTGATCCCTTTTCAAACTAGGGATCAGACTAATTGGGATGACATTCTTTGAAATACCATCTAATGCCAAAAATAACTTTTCTAAAAGCCTTACAAACAGGGGTAAACTCATTTGTATTTCCCTTGAGTGCAGGAGACCATATTTGGATGAGAAAAATAACATGGAAAGTGAAGGTCATATGATCAGCAAAAGTAGAGTGTTTAGTTACAGTGGTATGGTTATGATTGGGGAAATATTGAGATAAGATATGAGAACATTCAGTCATAACAGCTTAAACTGATAGGTAACATCCATAGGCTTGTGGATAAAATCAGCCTTGGCATTTGGGATTCAGAGAAAATGCTTACAGACAAGACCAACAGGTCTCCAACATGGTTCTCCAACACAGTTTCTGGTGATGTACCAATCAGAAAAGTTTCCCCCTTTTTCAATAGAGTGGGAAATGTGGATAAGAGCATTGTCTTTCCAAGAAGGAAAGGGATAATAAAGTGAGAAATGACAGCCATCTGGTCTAGTCTTCTCAGAAAAACTGTCTCCTTCACCTGTTGTCTGCTTCAGTTCCTGGAAATCTTTGTTTTCAGGTCACTAGTTAGTGTATAGGTCTAGTCAGGGTTTGGTGCTTTCTTTAAATGGCACATGAATCTAAGAGTCTATCTATAATTTGGAGTTTGGCAGCACAAGAGTTGGTTAATAGTACCTTACTAGGACTTTTCCCATGGGGTTGAAGAGAGTCTTTCTAGAGATGTCTTTTCCAATAAACAAAATCTCCAGGCTGCAAAGTATGGTGTTTGAGGTCTTCATCTCTCAGGAGCATGCTGAGAAAATATTGCTGTACTAAAGCATGACTATTTTCAATGGATGTAATCAGAACTTTTCAATATTGAAGTATATCTCCTTTTATTAATTATGTAGCTACATGCCTGGGGTTCCCAGCAATTATGAGTTCCAAAGGGATGGATCTGAGATTTAGAAGGACCAACAAGCAATGCTTTTGGCCAAGGTACTTGGAGGGTCTCCACAAATTTTGTCAAATGAGTTTTTTTTTTTTAGTTTTTATTATTTATTCTTGGCTGTGCTGGGTCTTTGATGCTGCATGCAGGCTTTCTCTAGTTGTGGTAAGCTACTCTTTGCTGCTATGCACAGGCTTCTCACTGCTTCTCATTGTAGTGACTTCTCTTACTGCAGAGCACTGACTCTAGGCATGGGCTCAGTATTTATAACACATGGGCTTAGGTGATCAAATCTGTATCCTCAGCATTGGCAGGTGGTTTCTTAACCACTGGACCACCAGGGAAGTCTGCCAATTGTGTTTTGATGGTGCTGTTAGTTCATTCAACTAGTCCTAAAGACTGAGCATGATAAGCATAATGAAAATGCTGTAGATCTAGGCAAACAGCACAAATATAGTATTTGGCCAGTAAAATGGGTTCCCAGTCACGATGGAGCTCAAGAAGTTACCTAGGTAGGGATAATCTTTTCTATTAATATTTTAGATACTGAAGAGGCAGTAGCTTATCTACATTGAAAAACTTTGACCCAGTGGGAAAACATATGAACCATGACTAAAACATATTTATATCCATGAGATGGAGAAAGCTGAATATAATCTATTTGCCAAAACTTGAATAGTCCATTGGGCAAGTTAAAGGGCATGCCAACTATCAGTATAAAGTCTGCAAATTTACCCTTGGCTAGAGTACAACCCAAGTAAGAACATATAATTCAGCTTGTTGGACTAAGGTAACCAAAGGCAAAGGTGCTGTCTCAGTGACTTCAAAAGTAGCTGCAGTTGTATACCTAGCATAGTATTTACATTTTTCATCCTTTAAATAAGAACTGTCAGTAAACTATGAAAATTCAGCATTGGTTAGGGGATTTTGCTATGAATCCTTGCAAGGGGTCAAAAGATGATCTGTTAGAGTCGAACAATCATGAGGAGTATCATCCACAGATGAGGGAAGAAGGGTGATACAATTAAAGTTATTACAATGAAAGAGAGTTATATAAGGAGCAGTTAGTAAGAGGGTTTTCTAGGAAGTGAGACAATTGGCCTAAAGGTATTGAGTGTGATAAGAATTTAGGAAGACTTCTGCATGGACTCCAAAGATAGTTTGAAAGGATTTGATGACTATTTCTTCAGTGACCTTAACTAAAAGGACAGGAACAGGAATGGCTCTGAGGGAAGGAGGGTATTCTTATGCCATAGGGTCTAGCTGCTGACTTTAGTACCCAGCGAGACAAAGATGATCCCCATTTCCAAGAGTGTTTCCCTCCTCATATATGAAGAAGAACTGTCAGGAAGCATTTAACAGGAGGCTTCCTGTGTGCTGTTTTGTATCTGTCAGGAATCCTCAGGAATTAAGAGGAGAGGCAAGCCTTTCCAGGGGCTGAGGAATCCAGGCATTTCCTTCCATTAGTTTCTCAATACAGTGATAAGTACCCTCTTCCTTCTTATGAACCATATGGTAAAAAGTGATTGTTTACAACTCTCTCTCTCTTTAATAGGGATTGCCTTATGTTTTGTAAGTCTGGAATTTTAATCTTTATCTTTGCTGAGAATAACTACCTTGTAAGACAGTATATATGCCCACATCATGTTGATTAAAACACCTTTAAAACACCTTTGATCCATCAGAGCTTTGGTCCCCATGTCTTTTTTTTCTTCTCTCTTTCTTTCAGGCTAATTCCTTGGAGCACAGAGGCCCGCTGAGCTCACTTTCTTGCCTGGGCTTCTAAGACCCTCTGGAGAAGGCGCACTGTGCCTTCACCCACTTGAGAGGGCGCCTGGTGCCTATGTGCAGCAGTGCAAGCTCTAAGAACAGGGCTTTATTGGCTTTCCATGTAAACCAGGGAATATCAGCCTCTCTCTTACTTTA